TCTCTCTTTCACTACCTCTCTCTCTTTCTCTTTCTCTCTCTCTCTGTTTCTTTCTTTTCTGTTTTTATTATAATTTACATATTTCCGGTTTTTCACTCTTTAAGAATCTTTAATAACATTATTATTTCGATTAGTATTTCTCACGAAACTTTGATAAATGTCATTTAATGTCCATCTTTCCTCTTCGTCTTCTTCTTCGTCTTCTTCTTCATTCCCCATCTATCTTTCATATTTCTATCTTTCTATGAAGATGAACACATTTTCTTTTTTATTATTTATTTCTCTTCTTTTACACATTGGCAACTCTTTGTATTTGGAAACAATTAGAATTTTAAAAGTTTTAATGCTTCCAAAAGCGATAATGAACGAAATTACCTCTTTTATTGCAAATGCTTAAGGTTCAAGCTTCTTCATGCAACAATTTCATGACTCATTCAAATTCTAACTCCTATAAAGATTTTAGAAAGAAAATATTCTCACTTGATATGACATAGATCAATGATGATATTTTTTTAAGACTAATATCAGAAATTCTGTATCAAGAATTCTCAATTTTCGGAAATTACCTCAAATTCATCTTCGAGAGAGAGAGAGAGAGAGAGAAAGAGAATGAAACCATTTTGAACATTTCAAAAAAATGAAATGAAATGGCGAAAAGTAAATATTTATTTCGTTTAGATGACATTATATATATATAAAAAAAAAGAAATAATCAAATATCATTCTAATAGATTTGAATGAATAGTTATATGTGTGTTAACTATAAGATATAAAATGATGATTGACTATTAATATGATATATCAATATATCAATCGTTTGAACTTGTAGTTGAATGCTTTTTATGATGTTTGCTCTTGTTCATCAAAAATATTTTATCTTAACCTTATCATTTGAATGCAATGAAAATGTATTCTAAAATGTATTTTAAATTATCAATTTAAATTGTATTTTAGCTCATACAATATTCATATGAATCTCTCTCATTTTCAATCTCTCTTCTCTCTCTCTCTCTCTCTCTCTCTCTCACTCTTAATACCTTTTCATTCTTGAAAAATATAAATCTCTCTTTTTCTCTCACTTGATGTATGTATATGCATATAGATCATATAAAAAGTTTTAAAGAGAAAAAAAAAAGAGAGAGAGAGATGGGGGCTGTGTGAATCTGTCAACAATAATGACCTTTTCATTTGTCTAACGTTTTTTATCCAAATAAAGTAGATGCAAATCATCATATCATTGACCTCATCAACTGACCTTCACCACAATAATATACATTTACTGCGTCTTTTTGCATATAATTTCTATTCTTTTCATTATTATTTATTATGAAAATGATAATTTATATTTAAATCTTTCTCTCTGTCTCTCTCTCTTTCTCTTTCTCCTTCTCTCTACGGCATGTGTAAGTATGTGCATGTGTATAATATATATAAATGAAACATATTGATCATTGAAATGTCTTATCCAAAAGATATTTGAACATGACATCTTTTATATTTGGACTTTGTTGATTGATATAGTTAGTTATCAGTTTTCATCGATTTTCTAAGATCAAACGTGTATGAAGACTGATTGTTCATATCTTTTATAAGATAACATGAATGATAATGGTTTTAAACAAAAAAAAAGGAGAAAAAATGTTTCAATTTTAGTAATATCATAGATTGTTTTATAATTATTTAAATTATTCTAACTATATCATATAGTTATCTTTTGAATGTTTGAATATCAACAAAAGAGAAGATGAAAACTCATAATCAATATCAATATGTCTATTATACTGTATTACTTATCATAGATGATGATGATGATGACGGTTAAGAACACGCTGTCATCATGGTTTGCTTTATTGAACGCTACTGTCAGCTGTTTCAAACCAAAGTGATCATCAAACTACATTCTTCAAATCATATACAGATATTCAGACACTATTCATTTAGAAGACATGATAAAACAATATATGATCATCAAGTTATAGCATTGAACACTCTAATTTAAAATACATTTTCTATTAAAATGATATTTTATTATTTCTCGAAACAATTGGAACCTCGATTACGTCCTTAGCCTAACGGGCTCAATTGTCTTAGTTGCCACCCCCTCTCATAACGCGCTCGATTTTTATATTCATTTTTTTTAAATTGCGTACATAAATATAATACAACAAATTTTGTATTTTTCTCGTGGCTCTCCCAATACTTCTATTAGAATTTTAGAAATAAGGAACAGTTGCATCTTGAAATTAATAAGATCGTAGGCAATAGATTGTTTTATAATTATTTAAATTATTTTAACAATATCTAGATATTCATTATAATCTTAACTATATCATATAGTTATCTTTTGAATGTTTGAATATCAACAAAAGAGAAGATGAAAAATGATAATCAATATCAATATGTCTATTATACTGTATTACTTATCATAGATGATGATGATGAGAACTAGAGGTAACAAGTGAGAAGAGAGAGAGAAGGTACACAAGTAAGATGACAAAAAGAATCACAGAAATAACGAAAAAAAAAGAAAGAAAAAAAAAATATTTTTATGTAACACAGTCAGTGAGACACATCATTGGTGTTCAGCTGGCTGTTCTCTCTTTCGCAATGTTTGTCTGTTGTTGTTTCCGTTAGTGAATGTCATCATATATTGTTAAAAACTGTTTTTATATGAAACATTGCTTAATATGATTCATGAGCAGAAACATATCCAATCGTTATATGTTAGTGAATGGAGAAAGACTGAAACTTTCACATAGTTTTCATATAGTTCTTCTTATTCTTCTTCTTTTTTTTTCTCTTTTTTTTTTTGTTCTTTTGACAGTTCACAGCGAGTTGTTGAGCGTTCTCAAACGAGCAAAGACCGATTATATGAGAAGATAAATAGGTAGAGAAAGAAAAAACAGTTTATTCGCACAAAAGTGTCGCGGCGCATACACGTATGTTCTAACTGTCTGCCTATGAAGTCTATTATGTCACTGTATAATAGACTGTACAGTTGATGGAGGGGATTGTGGCTGACACAGACACAAGTAATGAGGACGGTAGAGAGAGGTGAATGAAGAGAGAACGCACCGTGTGTATATGTTTGCTAGGTGTTTCGTAGTGCGTCAACTTGGCTGTATGGTTCAATGCTTTTCCTATTTGTCGATAGGTCGATATTTGTTCTTTTTCCTCACAGTTCCGATTCAATGTTTATTTCGCAATTTTTTTAGATTGAAAAGTTCATAGTAAAATCGATTTTTGTCATTTGAGCTCAAATGAATGAAAATTATTCTTTATATAATCATTCCTCTTAGTATTCTCGTAAGTATAGACTGATACTGATGGATGATCCATTGAATAAGCTTTCTATGATGGAAGAAGCTTAGCATAAGAGATTTGGAATTAGTGGACAAACCAAGCAATGTGAAATCAACATTACTTTGTCTATTGATCAATCATACAATTTTATTTAAAAAAAAAAGAAGATGAAGGAGATGAAGAGAGAGAATTAGAGAGAGAGAAAGAGAGATTGAGAGAAAAGAGAGAGAATTAGAGAGAGAGAAAGAGAGAGTGAGAAAGAAGAGAGAAGGAGGTATGAGGATGGGTATAATGAAGGCTGTTGCAGCAGCTGCAACGAAATTGCCATATATAGATATCTGTATTGTCCCTATGAACTGTATAATTGTGAATAAAAAAATAAAATGAAAATTGTTTTGCATTCATGTCTCTGCTATATATTCTTAATTCATCTTCATCATTTTCATTTTCATTTTCATTTGTGTTTGTATCCACAAAAACTATATGTCAATTAGTCGTTTTATTTCGGGGGTATTCTGTTTCTGAATGTATATAATGATGATACCGCCTGATAAAAACCAGTTTACTCACTATTTTTTGTACCTTCATCATGATGTTTCATGGCGGACACGTTCAAAAGAGAAAAATTGCTTCTCTCATTTGCGAGAATGTATTTTTCTGACAGCTTACAATTTATAGGAAAAGTTGTTTGAGAGTCAAGCCTAAAGCTTGAATGATGTCTGTCGTTTTTGCAATTTGTTGCCCGAAAAAAACATTTAGCAAGACTGACATTGAATTTTGTTTTCTGTTCAGCCTTCAACTACTTATTTTCCTTTTTTTTCTTTTTTTTTTTGCCTTCTTTTTCCTGAACACACACACACACACAGAAATTTTCTTGGCTCTACATACTATTATAGTATTCTGTCTTATTTTCGTTGCCTTTTATTATGTTTTTCCTATTTCCGCTAATACTCATACATAATTCACATTGACATGATTTTTTGGTTTTTTTTTTCTCTCTCTCTTCTTTTCTTCCTTTCTTCTCAAACTTCTGCATCTCCTTTTCTAGCTTTGTACAAAAACTTTGTATATATATATATATATATAGATTTTTCTATCTTCATATCTATATTCTTTTTCCTGAATATGTTTCTCTCCTTCCCCTCCTTTTCTCTCAATTTAAAGTAAAATTTTCTTTATTCACCCTTTTTCAAAAACTTCCGTGCAGTTTTCTTCACTCTCTAGTCGTCTCCTAATGTTCCTTTTGCTCTCATTATTCTTCGAAAAGCTTTCAAGGAAGTGCTCTGAAGAAACTCAGCTTAAAGCTGGCTTCCGACTTGCACTACTCGCAACATTTTGGGCTTTTCTCATTGCGCTTTCACTTTAAGTCTCCTGTCTCTCCTACATCATTTTCCTAATTTGAATAAGATTAGTCAAAGTAATTCAATAACGCAGCTTCTCCTGTCAAAGTGTTGCGAATGCATGTTGCGTATAGCTGTCATCTCTTAGTTTCACATATTTGTATGCAAGTCATGAGAAAGCTTCTTTCGTCTCCTCTAAAAAAAAAAAAAAGAAGAGGCACATGTTGGAAGAGAATTCTCATAACTTCATATTCACATTCCTCATTTTTTGATTGTTCATTTGAGATGTTTTATGGTTTATTGAACATTATTAATTTTTCTTTTATTTCAGCAAACTGTGCAGGTTCACACATCAGGATGTCGGGTGGAAATGAGGAAGCTCAGTTAGCTCAGTGTCAGGCTTACGTACAAAGGCATAACATACAGCAACTTGTCAAAGAAGCTATTGGTATGTATTTGAACTAATTCAATTACAAACTCATTACAATATCTCATTGTAACTATCTCTCTCAGTTATGATCATTCAAACGGTATTCTTCTTCAAATATGAAACTAATCGTTTCATTTATTCTTTTTTGAACCAAAATGTCTTTGCGACGATCAAATTCAAGAAAAGCTATTCATAGTTTAACGTCATTTCCGTTGCTGAAACATCCCGCTGTGATTCATTCATGCATATTTTATTGATGAATGTATTGAAGCATTTGATGGTTCTGACCATCACCCATAAACGTCTTAAAGCTTCATACGCTCATACTTCACATTCCTCATTTTTCTTTTTTTTTTTATATTTTATATTACTTTTTTTCAGTTGCCCTTTGCATACATAAGCCTGAAAACCCAGTTCTATTTCTCAAAGACCACTTCGATAAAATTAACGAGCAGAGGAGTTCCAGTTACATGGTACGATTAGTTTTTACTTTCTTTTCCGTTACTCTCCATATATGGCACGGAGATAATTAGATAGATAATATGCATATATATATATATTTGTAAAAACAATCATCTAAAGGACATACAATGACGTACTTGAGTTTTAAAAAAGGTTATTTCAAATGAATTACTAAAACTTGACTAAAGATGTTAGTTTGAATAGGGCGAAGACACAAGTAAGTTAGTTCAATTCAGATAATGAATAGTTTGTTTATCAAAGTACATAATCATTATCATCATTATATATATTAGAAAATCTGTATCTCTTCTCATTCTCTAACGTCATAACTGATATTCTTCACGAGAATGTTTCACGTCAATACATTCTCGTTTAACTATAGATACATGTCGCATTTCAATTTGATGAAATAGCATGTTTTAATCCCATAATCGTTTCTTCAAGACATTATGTGCTACCATTTCTGGTTCCTGTCCGCATAAACACAAGAGAAAGAGAGAGAATGAGAGAAAATAGCAATAGATACTTAACTCGAATATCATTTAAAAGCTATCAAATGATTTTTTTTTTTTTGAAATACATACAAAGTCTATTTAATGTCTCTTCATCTCTTATTTCAATATCTAACTATATAGTATAGTTAGATATATCTTAATATGAGTTGTGACACTCTATTTCATCTCATCTTGCCATTTTCTATCTATCTAGATATCTCTTCTCTCTCTCTCTCTATATATATATATATATATATATTCTCTTAAAGAAAGGCACTTTCTTTTTCGCTTTAGAAAATTAGATATCAGTTTCGCCATTTTATTTTTTGTTTACGTCTTGTATTTCATTTTGTTTTGTTATATCATTCATTCTTTACAATTTTGGCTGATATTCGTATTGATTTGAGAGATATCAATTTAGAAACAATTTATATTATATGAAAGAGATATATGATATGACATCTGAGATGACATACATAACTATGCTAATCATTCAAAGTACATATTTCAAATTTTCATATGTTACTATAGCAATATTTTAATTTGTAAATGCAAAACTTATTATCTTATTCTTCATTGAATGGTGGAAGCTTTGAGTAAGCTCTGAGAATGAAAAGAGTTTCTGTTTGCTATTCTTATGCTCTCATGGTTATATAACCAATACTGCTTAGAAGCGGGGCATTGCAAGTGTGTATGTGTGTGTGTGAGTGTGTATGCGTCTTTTCATGAAACATCATAGTATTCCATATTGTTGGACGCTGTTATATGTATTTTTCTCACAGAACGCAACATGAAAATGAAGAAAAGGCGCCAAAATGTTTTTTTTCATACTTTTTCTCTTTTTTTAATATTATTTTGAAAATAATGCAGCCAGTGAGGATGTCATCATGTTATTTGTTGTGAATGACTGTTGCTTTTTGCACATGTTTTCTTTTTGGGTTAGAATAGAGAGAAAGAGAGGACGGAAGAGAAGAGAAAAAAAAAAGCAGAAGAAGAAGAAGAAATTTCTTTTTTGTGTTGCTTAAAAGCTTTTGCATTTTTGAGAGAGGTGAGCGTTGAGAGGAAAAAAGAAAAAGCAGCAGCAGCAGCTTCCAGCCGGACTCTTCAATTGAAAAATGTTGTTTTCGAGAAACCGAAAGTTTCTTCATCTCTCTTTTTCCACTATGTCTATGTGTTTTTTGTTCTTAGTGTCCTTAATCCTCTCTATTCTCTTGTTTCCTCAACTCTCTTCCCAGGAACACTAATCATCAGTTTTTAACTGCCAGCCGCTGCTTCTTTCAACCATCTGGCACCACCGGTTGTTTTTTGTTATATACCACTGACATAGCATTTTTAAATTGTGAAATAGTCTTCTCTTTTTATTTCGAATGCAGTCAGTAAAACAGCTTTCGTTTTTTGAAACACAAAAAAAAATTTTCCTCTTTTTCACTCTCTTTTCGCTTTAAAATGTTTCATTGTAGCTTTACGAAACAATAGATAACTCAATTTTTTCATTTTATGACTTGAGTCGTCTCCTTCGTGCATAGAATGTGAAATGAAGAGGATGCGTTCTAGTTTTCTCTCTTTTCTTCTCAAATCATGGCTCAACTTCAATCCATCATTCTCATTTGTTTCCTCGGTTAATTCCCAATGGTTCAGTTGTGCCAGTTATCCACTCTTTCATGTGAGAATGTCTTTGAAATATTCTTTTTTTTGGGTTATTTTCATTTTTTATAGTATTGTCAATACATATTGCCATCTCTAACTGTTCATATTCAACATTGACAATGTCAAAAACGGCTGTTAGAAAGTAATATTTATAATATGACAACACAAAAAATATATAAACATAATAATTATCATTCTCACATCTATAGTTTAATCATATTTGCTTTTGTGTGTGTCCTGTCATTATAATCATATATTATTACCCATTTTTTTTATATATTTATATATATTTTTTCTTACTTCTTATACTTACATTCTGTTTATGTAACAACTATGATTACTCAGTGTGTGTTCTGCGCTTGGTGACATTCTCATATCACGCATCAATCAGGAATCTATCTGGTTACAATCGCTTTGACGTGAAAGACGACATAATGAACTGTGTAAGTTTCTTATTAAAATACACACACAAACACTACTCTATACAAGAGATTGAGAACATCTATCTAGCAAAATATAAGGAAAAGTATTTTCATTCTATCACAAATACATATGACTATAAGCACATACTAAAAATGTTTTCTGGCAATTGACTATGAATTTTTAATTTCATTCCTTCCTTTTTTTTTCCTCTCTTTTTTGTCTTTCTTTAGTCTCTCGCTTTCGTTTCTCAAAAAGCAATGATCATTAATAGACAATGATGTAGAGAAAGAGAAAGAGAGGGAGAGAGAAAGATAGAGAGAAAGAGAGAGAGAGATACCGTTTTCTTCATTCATTTGTGGGCAATGAAAAACTCTCTTACTTTGCTGATTCACATACAACTTGTAATCTTATCAACTTATTTTCCTTTCTGATTGCTCGTCCCCATGAAACTCGATTGAAGACGTAGTCCTGCTGATTACATATCAGCATGTTGTAACCTCGTATTAATGTGTCTAGGGGCACACTGTTGTATTTTTCTATTCATTCTCAGTATTATTAAATACAATTCTATTGTATATAATCAAAATCCAGAATATTCCATAACTGTTGCGGAACAATGAGAGTGCACTTATCTATTGCCACTTTGCCACATCATATTCCTCACAATTTCACTTTCAATTCTCATCATTTACTTCCGAATAGTTGCTCTTCCATTACGCGCCCACCCATCATTTAATGTACCGTAGGTTCATTCTTTCAAAAACTAAATGATGAAAAGTGTTAATGCGATATTTTGGTACCCAGATACGCACACAATTCTTCATTATAATAAATTCTTTTATTCTAGAATTTCCTTCCCCCTCCCCCCTCCCTTATCGTTATAACGTTAAAGCTAACTGCATTCTAAACAATGAACATATGGAAATTTTTTCTCTTTGTTAGCATTTGGGGGAGAGAGGACACAACTTTTTTATTCTTCAAATTGATGAACCAAAAAGTCTAGAAAGAGTTTGAAAAATTTGAAAGACATGATGTCATGTCATCTCTTTAACAATTTAATTTTTGGAAAAAGATGGAGAGAGAGAAAGAAGCCTTTTTTCAGTCTAGACCATATAATTTGTAACTCGATCATGTTGCAAGCACGATTTCTGAGTGGTTCAATCAGCCAGAAAACGTTGATGTCCAAACTGCGGAAACCAACCTCATTTGCTCCATTGAATTTGGTCCTTTACGCTTTGAATAAAAGACGCTGCTCTGTGTAGCGAAACGGATATGTCATAGTTGATCATGTTTCTGAAGAGAAGCTCAATAGTCATGTATTGTCTATTGATTCGCTTTCCATCATTTCAATGAAACTTTTTAATGATGATGACAACTCTATTCCATGCCACCCCTTGTCCATTCAAACAAGACGAGCTCTTTACTGGTTTCCCTCCATTTGCGATGTCTCCACTTAACCCTGAAAACTTTTGTCGTCTCTATTTTCTTCCATTAAATGATAAAATCTCCTCAATTAACTTGTAATTTAAAGCGCATCTTCAATACTTGAGGACCTTTTTTTCCGCAACAATTTTCTCATTTCTCACGTAAATTTTGAACAAAAGACCATTTTCTCTCGAAAATAAGTACTAAATCGTTAGTGTTGATCATAAAAGAGACTAAATGCTCACACACAGCAATAGAAGATTCCGATTTCAATTCATTGCGTAACATGAGCAATCCTATTCATTTGGAATTTTCCTTCTTCCATCTTATGCTCAATCTTCTTTGGGTATATTTTTCATTACAACAACAAAAAATATTATATCTACACCATGAGTTACCAATAATGAAGAAAATAAGTTGAAATTGACCTAATCATAATGACATATGCTCTAATAGCAAGATTTGAAAATGTCTTTGAACAATCAATTGAACAGACGAATCAATTAGCGCGCAATCATAATGACATCTGCTCAAATCGCACTGTACTGTTTTTACAATATTCAAAAATAACTGTTCTAGTAATCATTCAAATAGTCTTGATATTTCATTATTTTAGTTGTTCATATTACCTGTCTATTATATTGCTTGAT